CCCAATGACCAGATTTCCCGCACTTGTAGCACGAATCCTGTTTTTTTTCGGGGACAATCTGGGGCCCAATGCCCTAACTCTTTGCAGATGTAGCATGGATCCGTCTGTCTAGTTTTCTTTTTTTCTCCCGATCCCCCTTGTCCTACTTTTTTCTGGTAAGTGCTTCCTCCTTTCATTTTAGTGATGTAACTTTTCAGATCAGTCAGCTTGTTGTCAAGACCAGACAGCATGTTAACAATCCCAGCCAGAGTTGTATTTAAGATGCCCATATCTTCTTTATTCGCATATGCTGGAAGATTATACATACCCAAATCTAATCCCACTGCATCCTGTGACTCTGGCATGGGGGCTCCTACATACCCTTCAGGTATCACATATCTGGGGTTGTGTGGGGTATTCATCATTGCTTCTGCCATAATATTTTTCACGTCTGTCAAGTTCGAAATGCCAACCAAGACTGATCGTCAAATCCCAGCTCCGCTTTATATACCTGCTGTGGGGCGTGTGCACTTTTTACCTGCCTTTTTATACCTGTTGCATCACCTGTAAAAAAAAATATGCTGACTACACAGGTAATACTTGGCAGCGATTCAAGTCAGGGGGACCCGTGTGCAAAAAATATGCTGACTACACAGGTAATACTTGGCAGCGATTCAAGTCAGGGCAGTGTGCAAAAATACGTTTTACCTACGTTTTCTACGGGGGTATAAATGAGAAGAAAAATCTGATCCTTTCTTCACAATCGACTATCATGTCAACCCTGATACACACTCACTCTCTGATTTTAGATGGGTATGATTGTTTAGTACGATCGGCACAGAACCACCAAGAATCTCTACCCCCGGAGGCAGAACAAGTATTTCAGGAAGCGAGCACTATCATGGAAACCCCTCAGGATTTGTGGTTACAATGCCTAGCCTTATCTTATCATGCGACGACCATGGGGAGACTAGCTACCATACATTTTCTATGTCGACATATGAAAACAATTCTGCCCCAGAAATGGTACGGACTGAACCTGACCCGTTATTTCGGAAAGCCTTACAGTTTCCTGACCCATCCCCAAGCGGGCAAAGTGATTTTACTGTGGCAGGACATAGATGCGTTGTATGTATTCAATACGGAATGAAATACCTGGAAATTTCACACAGGCTAGGAAATCTGTGACTTTTAATACCAGCCTCAATCAAATCTACGAATTACCCCCCGAAGACCGGAGAAGTCCCTGGATGGCCCTAGTAGCGGATCGAATACGATTTCGGAGGAGAATTCGACAGTTAGAAGCTTTGTTAGTTTTTAAGAAATAAAATAAAAAAAAAAATCATGTAATACTACATCAGTGTTATGTTATTTTTATGACTTCATCTTTATACAGTCGGGTTCGGGTTCGGCGGCCATGGCGAATCTCGGCAAGATTTTACCCCAGTGAAAAAGGCTTGTAATCCACCGTGTAGGTCGTTTAAAGTTGTTTCACATTGTTTATAATTGTGATTATGTTATCACTCACCTATATGTTTAATATCAGCTATGCTAAATATCCCATTTCTATGTAATTTGAGATAATGTTTTGTCATGTGCTGAAAGTATGGCCTGCTATTCATGTCATCATTTAAAGTCGATCCTAAATAAATCTGTCTTAAAAAATACATTTTACAAATGACATTTAATTGATTAGAGTATAGGAATCCATATATATAAGAGATATTATTTTGCATTACATTTATAAGAGGCATTGTCTCATGTAATTTAAATCATAATAACAAAATGGGTTTTATTTTCTGTACAGTCCTCAACCTGGAAGATATGTTTTGTTCCTAACCATCTATAATCCATTCTCTATAAAGTGAAGCCTGGGTGCTGGTCTTCCTTTGGGAAATACACAGTGAATCAATTATGATAAAAACAAAAACAAAACTTGAATCTAAAAAAGTTTTCACTGAGATATCATTTTAATTTAATTATTATTATTAAGATAATTATTAGTTTTATTTAAATGTTTATATTTTTAAAATGGATAAAAAAGAAATCTGATAATGGAAATCAATACCATAAAGATAGCAAGTTTTTTATCTTTAAGTGCTGATGAATTTCTGAATTTTCCATTAAATATTGACATTATATCACAGGGGAAAAGAAAAACTACTTGAGTGTTTCTTCTGTCCCCCCCGAGATCTGCTTATGAGTGCATGGGGATTGCGGTTTACCTTCTCTCCTGTTTAAACAGACTTTAGAGTATGACAGATAAAAGGTACTTTTTTTTTCTTCTTTATTTTACATCACATGAAAACACACAATTAATAACGATGAAGAATGTACACATGTTTTTCATAAGTGTGTACAAATTGTTCAATATAATGTCTATAATGAATCCAATTTCCTCCTGCTAGTCCACAGGCAATCTTGTAAGGAAAAGCATAAGTCTGGTAAGGTAAACTTTCCCCCATTTTTCTCTGCAATACTTTGACTCAATCCATGAGCTTTTACAGTTAAACAATTACATTGATGAACAATAGCTTCTACCTCACAGTTGAGTAAATCACCTTGTATCTCCTGGAGACTCATGATGTAAAATGAATCTATTTTTTAAAACACCCTTGTTTTTATAGAACAACAACAACAACAACACAATAAAACAAGATTATTTTTTTTTATTATTCAGGTAAATCTACAATCTCTTGGAACTAATTCTTTGTTTCTCACATCAGGTTTTAAAACTCCATATTCTTCATAGTCACCTTGTCTATAAAAGGTTCTTTCCAATTCTGGGGTGCTGTGAGACATCTCAAAACAGGTTAATTTATGAATCTTTCTGTACATGTATCTCCCTTGAACCCTGTTTTTCATTTGAATGAATCCTCTCACATGATGAAGTTTTCCAGTTTCTGGATGCATTTCTTTTTGTAAGATCAAGTATTGATAATCACTTCCAATGATTTGATCTACATCTTCCTGTCGGCACCCAGTTAAATTAAATATCCAATTATTGGCTATTCTACCTCTGTCTTTTTTTAAGTAAGCAATATATCCATTGCCTGTATTTTCTTTCTGTTTATTTTGATAATGAGCCTTAATATCAGAGTTTGTTTGGTCTTATGTTTTCTTTTTCCTCCTCCTGAGGTTTATATTCTACAGGATGTTCTTCCATCAAGGGAGGTGGTATAAATACTGCAGGATGTTCTACCATCAAGGGAGGTGGTATGATATCTTTTCCTCCCTCCTGTATAAGTAACCATTCAGTTTCCTCTAATCTAGTGTTCTGACTCATTTCTTTACTGGAGGTGTTACCCATAATGAAACCAGTCCACAACTGAGGTGTGTTTTGTACCATGTTTACTATTTTATACTTTTTTTTTTATTGTATCTATTTTTTTCCCCCAATCTTTAAAAACCCTTACCATTTTGTTTTGTGTTTTGAAAAAAAAATCTATGGTTAAAGGGAGATAACCTATTTTTAAAAATGACAAAAACCCACAATTTTTTTTCTTTTCTTTTTTATTGAGATCTAACAATAAATAACAGTTCAATCTTTTTTTTATTCAGAATCTTGTGTTATCTACATACTGAAAGAACCTTTTCTTCATAGCTTCTCTAGCTGCAATAGCTTCAGGTTTCTTCCAAGCTCCTATCTCCCATTCTATCCAATCTCTGTCCTCCAATTCTTTGTTTCTCTCCTCAGGTTTCAGAACCCCATATTCTTCATAGTCACCTCCTTGCTTGTAAAACATACTTTCGAATTCTGGGGTACTGTGAGACATGGCAAAATCAGCAGTGATATGAAGTTTACACATACGTAGTCCTCCTACTGGTCTTTTCATTTGAATGAATCCCCTGATTTGATGTACTTCTCCTGTCCAGGGATGTCTTTCCTTTTGAAGAATCAGAAACATATCTATATCTTCTTCTTCTTTGGGGTCTTTAATGATGAAATTCCAATTGATGGCTATCCTGTAATGTCTGTCTGGACATTTAGGATCCTTCACAGGCTCATTCAGGGGTAAATATTCATTCTTAGGTTCCGGATCCAGGGTTTTCAACTCTATTCTTCTTTTTGTTTGAGGAGCTTCGTGATCCCCCTCCATAGGTTCCGTCATTCTCTTTTCTAATAAGCCAAATTTATCTTTATCCATCTCCATGTCTTCTTCTTCTAATATTCTAGGAATTCGTTTGCCAAACTGTCGTTTACTCAACCACATACCCCCAACTGAGGAGGATCGTCTTTAACACCTTGTTTTTATACCCCTCACCTTGAAAGATAAGGGCCGTGTGCAAAACATACGTTTGACCTACGTTTTTTATGCTGACTACACAGGTAAATACTTGGCAGCAATTCAAGATTATGACGTCACGCTTCACAGTCAAAAGCTCAGTCTAGCCTAACCAGTTCAAACTGGATTTTCTGAAAACACTAACACATAAATAATAAGAACACAGATTTTGATTTTTTTTTCATTCTTTATTAACAACAAACAACAACAACAAACAACAACAACTCATTTACAATACATTTTGATAAAAACATTGACACTTTTGTCCATGACCCGTAGGTAATTTATGATAAGTGTTTTTAAACCAATTCGCCACGTATCTGTCCCTTTGTAAAGCCGTACTCTGGTCAAAGGGGAATAGCCACTCGTCGGTTTTCTTTCTTTTCTTGTCTCCTTGATGCAAATAATACACGCAATATTGTCCACACACGTCGGTATTCCAGTCTTGATAGCGATACGGATTATAAGTCCATTGTTGAGCATGACGCTGGATAAAATCTTGAATTTCTTTTTGTAAGGGAGGAAATCCATAAGAATCGAAATATTCCACCACGGGATTGCTCACATATAGACACACCCAATGTTCTCCAGGTCGATCTTGAGGATCCGTATTGACCACGACAGCTTTTTCTCCAGGTATTAATTGATCCGGTAATAAATCTACAGGATACACGCCTCCAAAAGAACTCTTGAATTCTCTGGATAAGACTCTCTCAATTGTCCCGTATCCATTTTTTAGTAATCAATGCTCACTTCTCTCTGTTTGTTAATTTCTAATAGGTTATCGAATTCTGCATACACCACACAATTGATGGTCGTATTGTTGGTAAACTGCACTTCTACTCTCAGATTTCCTGTTTCTATGATGTGGAATTTATCCGATTGCGCCTCTTGATCTTTAGTGAAATCCCAGCCCCATAGAGTGTAGCCGCTTTTATACTCTTCTAGGGTAATGTCTGGAGCCCAATCTACTCCTAATTTTCCCAGAGCTTGATACAGCTTGATACAGACTGAGATATGATCTCAGATATAAATCGTCGTTGAAATTAGGCTCAAAACAACGAGTACTCATGGTCTCTCCGTTGATACTGACATCTAATTTCTTAATCCCAAAGTTTTGGAAATGAAAGGGATTTTTAGTTTTATCTCCGTTAAAGGCCGCATTCTCCACAAAGCCTAAAATGAGACGTTTAGGCATCTGACCTTGAAACAGATGATCCGTAATCTTAGACTGGTTCCTATGGGGATGGTAAAGGTTTTCACTTCCACTCTTCTCAAGGGATATTTGGCTCTGTGGGTATTCAAACTTTGATTAATGGTATTCATCATGACTGCTGTGGGTTTGACTTTTCTCACCCACAAGATCATACTCAATATTTTCACTTTTCCTGTACTTCCTCCTTTGATCATCATGTAGAAAGAGGGTCTAGCTCGATTAAATCGCAAACGGACGTCCACTCCATTAGGTAGAAATCGATCTTGTTGAAACAAATCCAAATGTAAAGTATCCAGCAAACTGATTTTCTTACTGTCAGCAATAGCTTGGTGTCTTTTTCGGAATCCTTCGTTTTTAGAATTGGCCGGTAACGCTGTGAGGATGGGTTCGTTAATGGTCACTGTATCTTTACTTGAACCTTTAGTTACATCAAAGGTTTTATTTTGAGCTACACCAAGGTCGTCTAACCGCACTTCGTCCATGTGTCCTGCTGTATCTTTTTCCCACAGACTACAGGCCCTCGTCTGTGTCTTTAAAGTTCTGGGTCGGTAAGACAATAATTTCTCCAGATAAGCTTTGTAAGGATAGGTATCCGTCCCCGGAGTTACTATTTTTCCATTCAGACTGACATCGATTTCCGTAAACATGGAATGTAAGATATTATTCACGGGACTGGAAGTGCTGTTCGCCCCAGTCAGATTACTTCCATCGTCTTTGGTAAATTTACATACCATTTGAACATAAGTTTGAGATAAATCCAGATAGTGATCTCCTTGTCCTTTAATTTCAAATTCGATGGGAGCGGTGTCGGAATCTAAAGTACTGGAAATGGGGTAATATTCTTCCCATTTTGAGTCTTCTAAAGCAATATTAGTCGGAGGGACTTGAAACAATTGTAAATTGTTCATCCCACACCCACAGGAATCGGGCTGTAACATGATGTGTCTACTAGGATTCAGTTTTCACAAATGAACCTTCTGTTCCCTGGACTGTCCTATTTATACTCTCTCTCAGTCAAACACATCTAAATGACGTTTTCTTTTAGGAATTCCTCCTCCTTGTTTTTTCCTTTTTCTCTTAGGACCCCCTCGGGCTAACAGGACTCTTCCTCTCCCTGTCTGCTTTCTTCTTCTTCTTCTTCTTCCATGACCTGTTTGTCTTTTCTTCTTTCTAAAGGGTTGTTGAAAGCTACATTTCCGTGGGTTAGATTCATGTTTTTTTGTTTCACCATTCCCGAAGTATTTTTCAAGCCTTGATGTGAGTTTTGACTGCCTCTTTTAATATTTATTTTCTATTGTTTTTTCCCATGTTGGAGTAAATTTGACAAATCCTCGACCTTTTTGTAACCCCATGGCTAACTGGGCCGCGTCTTGAGAGTCAAAGATCTGCCTGGTATTTTGCTAAGTTTAAAAAATTTCCTCCTTTTTGAGGTTTCATGTGAGTTTTTAAAATCCAATTTGAGTAATTGTGTAGCAGAAAAAGTAGTCAAGGGCTCCCACCAATCCAGAGATTTACTGCTCCGTTTTCAATAAATCAGATAAAAAATCCTCAGTAATCCTCTCATGGTTCATGTCTCTTGTTCAACTGACCTTTATATCTTGGGGACTTCCTTTTATTACCTTTCTGAATACAATTTTCATTCCTTTCATCACGCCCAATAAGATGGAACACAATAACGGTACATTCGTCTCAGTATACTTTTCTGAAATGAAGTTTCACCACTGATTTACCACTTACAAAGGGCATGGGAGTCCCTAAAGGAGTCATGATATGAATCTCAGTGGTATCGAAATGTTTTTTTTACTTAGTTTCAAATATTCCGCTCTAAGTTCAGCTTGTTTTGAATCCTCCAAATGAAATGTACAAGGTCTTAATAATTTCAAGGCATTGGATCCGTCTGGGGTTGAATCAAGTCACAATAGACATACATGGATTTCAGATTTTCATATAAATCCACAGTAAAAAACTAATGTTGATCCATTTGGTCATGTTTTTGTATAGTTTGGGGTGACTGTCCATGCCTAGCTAATAGGCTGGTGGAAACGAATGCATAAAGGACTAAGCATTTTTGCATTAATTTGATACATCACTCGATCATAGGTCTCGTAATATACTAATTTCATAGATTTTTCTTCATCTCCATCACCAAGGGTTTTCCATATTTTTTTCAATGATCTCTCTAGTCCTAGACTTTGTTAAGGCCTTGGGGTGAACATAGGGGGGTCTGAAGTGAATTCGTCTAATTTCCATCTTGCTATCTAGTTCACCGAGTTGAGGCCGTTTAGCATGGGCCCAATGAGCAGTACAGGACATTGACGTAATGGCATTAGTCCAAGGTTTTCATTTTAAATCTGCCATAAACATTGGGGTTTTTGATATGGCGAGCAAAAGCCTCAGGAACCAGGATGTCAAAATAAGCTTCCTCTTCTGTAATGTTTTTCAATGAATTGGGATACATCATTTCTGTTAAAGCCACTTCCCATTCTCCGTCGGTTAAATCTCTTGTGGTAATAAGGTTTTAAATTGAGCAGTCGTATTGCTAGAAAAAGAGGCCATAGACCCATCACTGGGTAAAGTCATGTAAAACCCACTGCTCTCGCCCATGTTCAATCTAAGACTGAGACTCTAGACCTTAAGACCTTTGTATTTATAACACTTTTTTTAAAATTCAAAAAATTTATTCAATGATTTACACATCTATTTCTTCTTCTTCTTCGTCTTCTGATGATCGGTCCTCAATCACTCGAGTCAACAAATGTCCTTTCTTTTCCACCGAGTCTTTAATCTGCCACTCTGTAGGACAATAATGAGGTGGGTCCTTTTTTCTCCATCTTGAAATAATATTTCAGACAATCTCCAATGGAGTCCATGAACTTTCATTCTGAATGGTGTTGAATCGATTCCTTTGAGTACAAGTAACCCATTTGTTTGCTGATAATGTTTTGATTTTCACCCTCACTCTAGATCCTGTTAGAGGATAGGGAATTTTCATTCTTTTTTCCAACCACACATTGTCCAGGTAATAGCCTGGATGATTTTCAAAGAAATCCATGATGGCTCCTATTTTAGTTTTCATCCACCCTCCTTGCATGTACATACACTGACTAATGGGACTCTCACAATACTAACGATACTGCATCTTTGGGGAAAAAACAAAAAACACGTCTGACTTGTTCAGTGTCCTTTTTCAGAATGAGAGAGGGTTTGTTATATACCTCTTGATAAAACCTTTCATCTATTTTTTTTATTTTTTTTTTTATTTTATTTTTTTAATTATATTTTATTTTTAAAACAAACAACAAAACAAAGAATTTTTTTTAAAAAACAAGTTTTTTATTCCATTTGGTCATTTTTCTGTCACAACACGGAAATCTGAAGAATGACTTTCTGACTGTCCGGGTTTTTGCCTAGAATTTCCTTATAAGCTAGGGATGTAGGAAAAACCGCCCCAGTATAGAATTGCATAATGCCAGTAAGCATTTTTCCCCCTCCTTGATTTTCATACTTTAATCACTCGGCTATAGATTTCTGTATTGTCCGTATTCTTAATAACTTATCAAATGTGCAGCATCAAATCACATATTTTCATTACTACATTGTTAATTTATAGTATAAAAAATAAATTTCATAGAATTCATATTGTCTTCTATTTCCCTCAAACTGGATTATGTTTTAGACACAGATTTTTTTCAAAACATTGATCTCAATTTCAAATTAAGGCAGTCTAATGATTAGCAAAAATTTCCTCCTGTTAACAAATGAGCCTTGGGCCCCGTGATTGTTTACATATTGGAAATGTCATGTTAATAACAAAATGAAATTCATTATTACTAGAAACTGTCTGAAAGTATTTATAAATTCTTTTATTTTATCTACTTTAAACAAATATATTTTAGTATTTTAATCCCCAAAACATGACACAGGCCCTGTTTACATAACACATTGACGTAATGGCATTGGATTTTTAAAATTTTCATTTTAAATTCTAATCATAAAAATATGGAGATAATTTTTTTTGATGAAATGTGTCGAGCAAAAGACTTTAAAGGAACCAGGCATCCATAATATACTGGGTTTTTTCCTGGTAACCTTTGTTATATAATGTTGTTTTTTTTTTTTTTTTTTTTTTTTGCAAATCATATATTATATATATGATAGGTTTCATTTATTTTTGGCATAAAAAAAATGGTATATCAATTGTTAGAAATTAATTGGTCTTTCAAAGAACACGCACTTAAACGATACAAGTACACCATGTTTTTACGTTGATTTTTCTGTTAAAACAACAACTATATAGTTTTCACCATTTCTCTTGATTCTTTTATTTTTAATTAAACGCAGTGCTTGAAGGTTAAATCCACTGAATTTAAACTAAAGCTTAAAAAATTAAGGAAGCAGATGAATTTATGAGCGGTCGCAAATAAAACAATGTTAAAGTCGGTTAAAATCAGAGGCCAAAAGACCCAGAAATAAAGGAATATCAAAATTTATTAACCCACTGATTCGGCCATGCATCGCAAATACAATTCACAGCAAGTAAAGCATTTTTAACACACTTGCTAAACTGTAATAAACCTTTGTATTTAACAGTGCAAAACAACTTTTTTAAAATTCAATCTGTTTGTGGTAATAAGGTTTTAAATTGAGCGTGCCATATATTATTAAAAGAAACATAAATTGATTTCAATTCTATTTATTCTTCTTTGTCGGGAATTTTAATTGTTATTTAAATATCTTCTACATAGTTGAAATTCCACTTTCGTTGGTTAAGTATATACACATATTTGTGAATTTGAAGTTTCCAGGGTTTCTATCGTCATAGATGATCGGTCCTCAATCACTCGAGTCAACAAATGTCCTTTCTTTTCCACCGAGTCTTTAATCTGGGAAAAGGGGATGCGACAATACAAGTACTCTGTAGGACAATAATGAGGTGGAAACGTAAGTCCTTTTTTCTCCATCTTGAAATAATATTTCAGACAATCTCCAATGTCCGAGTACCATGAACTTTCATTCTGAATGGTGTTGATGGGTGTCAGACGATTCCTTTGAGTTTTTGTATTGCTGATAATATTTCATTTTTTACCCTGGTACTCTAGATCCTGTTAGAGGATAGGGGATTTTCATTCTTTTTTCCAACCACACATTCTCCAGGGAAAAGCCTGGATGATTTTCACAGAAATCCATGATGGCTACTATTTTAGTTTTCATCCACCCTCCTTGCATGTACATACACTGACTAATGGGACTCTCACAATACCAACGATACTGCATCTTTGAAACAAAAACACGTCTGACTTGTTCAGTGTCCTTTTTCAGAATGAGAGAGGATTTGTTATATACCTCTTGATAAAACCTTTCATCTATTTTTTTAATTTTTTTTTTAATTATATTTTATTTTTAAAACAAACAACAAAACAAAGAATTTTTTTAAAACTAAACAAATTTTTTATTCAAGTAAAAAATACAAAAAAAAAAGTCAAATGATTTTAATGTCCTTCATATCGGCATAAGGGACAATTTCTGTAGCAGGTCACTGTGAACTTCTCTATACATTTCTCACAACAGGGATACTGACGGCATTGTCCGCATTTCCATTTTCCTTGAGTCTTTTCCTGGTAGCACATCATACATTCTTTCAAAGGTCTGTTCCTGGTCATTTTCACCCATCGGGGAGGCGGTATGTTCTCAATTCCTTTCTTCCAGATGAAATATTTCAGGCACCAGCTACAGCCACAAGTCTCTAAAGAAGGCTCATCATCGTCAAACCAGTGTGGAAATGGCATTTCACAATGCTGGCAAATCCGATAGACTTTCCAACGCCATCCCGGACAGGGGTTATATACTGTGAATTCTTTATTATTCCTGGTGCTCTGATCACAGTAATGACAAACATATTTTTCTACCTCCAACAAGTACATCAATCTATACACACAAATCATGATTGCTAAATAATGAGTGCAGGGTACTCCCAGCTCCGCTTTATATACCTGCTGTAGGGGGGCGGAGCCTGTGCACGTTTTACCTACGTTTTTTATGCTGACTACACAGGTAATATACTTGGCAGCGATTCAAATCCGTGATTGTGACGTCATCATGACAAAGCTAGTGTATAGAGAGCGCTCTGTTGTGTGTATATAGAGCGTTTAGTTGTGTGTATATAGGGAAAAATAACTAACAACACTAGAATTTTTTGTTTTTTTTCTTTTATTT